AATATAAAAATTAAGAGATTCATTAATTGAAAAGGCTTACATAAATATTTGAATGACACCATAGATTCTAAGGTAGAAATGTTGGTCAAGGACCTTATCCCAATCATGTCGTAAACCACCAAAGCCAGCTTAGAGCCCAACTAACCTTATATTTGTGCCGTTTTACTTTTCCATCACAAACAAAGCCAGATAAAAATACATCAAGAGAACCGGGGGCAAAAACTCCCGAAAGGGAAAGAAACTCTCACAAAGAAGAGAAATTAAAAAAAAAAAAAAAAATCTAACATTTATTCATCCTCTTGCTCACCCGCCAAGGGAATAAAGACAGTAAATAGAGATAAAGAAAAATTAAGAGCGAAAAGATCAGAGGAGGCAGAGATAGGGGACTAGGGTATGAGTTTACATGGACAAAAAAAAAATCAAATTAAATTCTTGATGAGTAGTTTAAAATGTTGAATTAAAAATGTTCAAATGAAATAAATTTTGAACTTATAGATTAAATTGTTAATCTTGTAGAGGTCTTATCCTTATGGCTAGGCATGATTATTTGCCTTTATGCATCTAAATATACATTCATTAAAGGAAGATATAGGTATATACATATTCATTTTGAATTCATTGATATTCACTAGATGCTGAACTTGATCAAATAGTCCTCCATTTGGGCATGCATGCCTAAAGGCACCATGGCTTTCATAAAAGAGGAGATTCAAAAATCTTTGAAATACAATTTATTCATTTTATCATTCTTTCACATTTTTATTTCGAGAAAGTTTTTAATTTATTCTGTTAAATCTTATGAACATTTTGCTGTTCAAAAAAAAAAAATCTTATGAACATTTTAATATCTTAAAGATAATAATTCTGTTTTGCATCTCACCTCAGAACTAATTTCTTTTCCTTTCATATTTTATTTTTATTTATTTATTATTTTTTTTAAACATGGAGAATTATGGGAGAAAGAAGAATTTTTCTAGTTAGTAGAAGTCAAACTCCTGACTAACTGAATCTAAGTATTAAGAATTGAGGATCAACCATTAAACCTAAAGGCTCAATTCTTTTTATATTTTATTTTCATATTATACCATTTCTAACAATCTTGATATACCAAGATAAGAGAATAGAGTTTGCGGAGGATATACATCTTTGACCGTGACTAAGACTTTTGCAGGTATCCCATATCGAAAGCTGCCTTGTTAGAGTAAGATACAAGAACATAGTCTGTGAAGAATAGGCTAAGAAATGTACTTCCTTGGCTGTGTGTGAACAAGTCTTCCTTTTTTTTCTTTTTTCTTTTTTCCTTATTTTTTGAATAAAAAAAAAAAAGAATAAGGCTTTTCTTTGGCTGCATGAACAGAGTTTCATAGTAATTTTAACAAAGCTATAGAAATATCAACTTAATTGGAAACACAGAGATGTGAATCTTTAGTTGTATATAAATGATCTCTCTGTTTTATTTGTTGTTTCAATTTTTATCTGCGAAGATCGTACGTATGTGAAAGCATGCACCAATCCCTGACCATGAACTATGTGATTAGATCATTGTACATGTAGATTAGAAATATTATGGAACATAGAAAGAAATTAAATTCAGACTCTACACATTAAAATTATTTATCTAATTCATCCTCAAACATCTCAATTGAAAAACCTTTTCTTAGGCAAAAAAGACAAAAAAAGAAAAAGAATATTTAAAAAATATAGTTGTAATATTAATCACATATTTTGTGGTACAACTTTTATATACAACCGCTACATCAAACACTGCTTAAGAGTAAGATTAATTAAAGCATAATAGTGGAAAGACAAGCCAAGGAATGTACTTTCAGGCCATGACTAATAGGTATTTTGGCATGCTGAATGATGCCTATTTAGAGTAAGATAAGCTAAGAAATGTACATCTTAGGCCATGAATAAGTCTTCTCCAAATCTCCCACGCGGAGTAGATATATATTATGTCTTCTTTGATGTAGAGGCCTTTAGCTCAAGTCAATTAATTTCACATTCAATATATATTGGTTGGTTGGCTAAATTGGCCAAAAATATTCTATAATTTCCTTTTGGTTTTTGAAATGTAGATAGGTTTGGCTTGATTCACTTGACTTGCTAGTCAATAGCAAGTGGATTTAAATTAGAGCTAATTTCTCTGCAGCATACAAAAAAATAGACCATTGGTGAGCCATGGGTGATATAGAAACAAATTTTTTGTAAAATCTTTTTATACATTTTCACATGTCATTAAATAAATAGATACATTTAATGTCATGGGTTCCAAATGAATAAAAGGGACCAATTATTTGAATAACACAAGGTTTGTGCAAAAAAGTTGTCTTTGAATCATTTTTCACATACATCAACGATATGTATATCATTTCACACTTGCACCATTTCTCACAGTAGAATGTAGAAAAAAAGATAGTGAGATACATCAACTAAAATTCTGTACTCTTCCAATTCAACATAATGTTGTCTATATAAGCCCCTTACCATGCATGATCTTCTTGCATCTTTAAGAGTACAAAAATCTAAACACGAGAACAAATTATAGGGTCCTCTCTTGCTCACTTCTTGTTTTGTACCGTCTTACTAGTTTTTTTCTTTCAATCATCTTTCCAATATTCATTGTGTCATACATATGAGCACCTTGCCCTGTTACAATTCAAGGAAAGCTTTGTCATTGATAAACATTCTTTTTCTGATGATCCATTTGCTTATCCTAAAGTCAATCTTTGGAAATCTCAAGGGATGGATTGTTGCTTTTGGGAAGGCATATGGTGTGATCAAGACACTGGTCATGTTATAGGCCTTGATCTCAGCAACAATTGTCTTTTTGGTTTTGTCCATTCTAGTAGTAGCCTCTTTCACCTCATTCACCTCCAACACCTTAATCTTGCCTTCAATGACTTTAATTACTCAAAGATTCCATTTGCTTTTGCAAATCTTACAAGTTTAAGTTATCTCAACCTCTCTAATTCTTTCTTTTCTAGTTAGATGCCATTTGAACTTTCAAAACTAGTTGGCTTATCCACCCTTGACCTAGCTCCCTATTATACTTGTTTCGTACATGAAGGATTGTTGGAATTGAAAAGGCCAAACCTAATAAGCCTAATAGAAAATCTCACAAGCCTAGAATACCTTCGTCTGTCTTGTGTTAAAATAAATTCTAAAATTCCCAATACCATAGCAAATATGTCCTCATTGAGGTCCATTAGTTCATAATTCTCGTAATTCAAGCAACAAGTTTTTCTGGCAAGTTACCATCCTCAATTGGAATGCTCAGCTCTTTAGAGATTTTGGATATTGGTTTTTGCAACTTCTTATGCTTATTACTAATAGAGATTCCAATTAGATCCCTAATTCTAGTAGTAGAAATTGGGGCTAGATTATTGCCTTAAATCTGTTGACTGTTATGTGTAATTACTTTCCTTCCTTGTAAATACAACTGTATAAATAAATAATGCTACTACACTCTCAGTATTGAGAGAGTGAGTAAATTCCATAGAAGTGTTGTTAAACCTTTTTATGGTATCAGAGCACAAGAAATAATCTTCTGCACATTTCTCCCTTCTACTCTCAATGGCCTCCTTGACAAATTCTACCTCCCTTACTATTACTTCCATTGCCCAAATCTCTGCCATGGTTACTGAAAAATTGACTTCAAAGAACTACCTCTCATGGCAAGATCAGATCCTTCCACTAATTGAAGGAATCTCCATGGGGGATCACGTTCTCTTTGACTCAAAAGCCCCTAAAGCTACAAGGTTGTCCTTAGATGGCAAGGAAGAACAAAATCCTCTATTGGCAATTTGGTTGCAAGAAGATAGGCTAGTCAAGAGCTTGATCGTTGCAACATTATCCCCAGCAGTTCGAAACTTTACGGCTGGACTCAAATCTGCTAGGGATGTATGGAAGGTCTTGGAGGAGCGCTTTGCAAACTCCTCTAAAGAAAGGGCTCGAGATCTCTTACGACAACTACGAGAGGTCAAAAGAGATGAACATCCTACACATGATGCATATCTACAAAAGATAAATATGATTAGCAATGAGCTTGCAGCTATTAAAGAGCCACTTGATGATGGTGATAAAGTATACTGGTCTTTAAATGGTCTTGGTGATAAATATGATAGCTTTGTCACACCAATGCAGGTTTGATTTCCTCCTCCTTCATTTGAAGAGTTTACTATCTATTTGTCTAATTTTGAAAAGTGCCATAAGAACTTGCTTTCCAATGAGAGCAAGTATTTATTGCACATCGCGGAAGAGGTCGATACAACAATCGTCCTCCTAGAGGCAGAGGTCAATCAAGAGGAATTTGAGTCTCCTCATTCAACAACAATCAAACCAGCAACAAGAACTCAAATGCTTAACAACAAGGATCAGGTAAAACAAATTGGAATCAACGACCATCAATTATATGCCAGATTTGCAACAAGCTTGGACATAAAGCATTATGTTGCTATGAAAGATTTAATCATGCATATCAAGAGGAAGACATCCCAAAGGCACTTGCTGCATTCTCAATAATAGATTCACAAGATCCAGATTGGGTTCCTGATATTGGAGCCATGTCTCATCTCACCAATGATCCAAGTAATCTTGTTAATGTTAAACCATATCGAGGAACTGATAAAATCATAGTTGGAGATGGTAAGAAACTCCAAATTACACATATTGGTGATGCATATATTTCAACATCTTCAAGCACTTTATTTCTTAAACATGTTTTAGTTATTCTTGATAGTATATCAAATTTGATCTCCATTAGTCAAGTACTTAAGGATTCACCTGTTATAATTGTTATATTCACACCTTTTGGCTTTGTTATTAATGACAAGAGGTCTTGGAAGACAATTGCAACTGGTGTTAGAGATAGTGGTCTTTATTCATTCGGTCAAGACAAGGTTGCTTTTTTCTCTGTGAGACAAAGAAAGGCATCTCAAAGGATTTGGCATCATCGATCAGGTCATCCCCAGTCAAAAATTCTAAAATTCTTGAATAATAAAAATTTCATTTATGTTCAAGGTGTTATGGGCAATTTAGTTTGTTCAAGTTGTCAAATGGGAAAGCTTTGCAAATTACCTTTTCTTTCTAGTAATGAATGTAGTAGATTTCCTTTTCAAAAATTGCATTGTGATATTTGGGACCAACCCCTTGTGCATCTACTCAAGGTTTCAAATATTTTGTTACCTTTTTAGATGATTCCTCTAGATATGTTTGGACATTTCCCTTAAAGAAAAAATTTGACTTTCTTCAGTGTTTTAAGTCATTTAAGCAGGTGATTGAAACTCAATTTGATAGCAAGATTAGAATTTTTCAGAGTGATGGTGGCGGAGAGTTCATCAAGAATGAATTCCTTGCACTTCTAGCTAATAATGGAATTATAAGACAGACTTCATGTCCTCATATAGCTGAGCAAAATGGCTCCGTAGAACGAAAACACCGCCATATTGTTCAATGGGCCTTGACACTCTTATTCCATAGTCATGCTCCTAAGAGGCTATGGTTAGAAGCAGTTAATACTACTGTTTTTCTTATCAGCAGAACTCCTACTCCAATATTGAATATGAGCTCACCTTTCAAAATTCTTTTTGGGAAGGATCTAGATTACTCTATGCTAAGGAGTTTTGGATGTTGTTGTTATCCATACTTAAGAGATTACATGGAAAATAAATTTTCTCCTAAAACTCTTCCTTGCATTTTTATTGGTTATAGTCAACATCATAAAGGATATAGATGTCTACATCTCCCTACACAAAAAATATATATATCTAGACATGTTATTTTTTATGAAAATAATTTTCCTTATGAATTTGATTCTTCCATTATTGGTATTACTCAGAGGGAGCTCGACAATTCTAGTCCATGGCTAAACCTCACCATATATTTAAAAGATCAAAGCCCAGCAAAAATAATTTCGAACTCCTCATCTACATCAAAGCCACAAGGAGATCTATCAGAATCTCTTGCCATTAATGCTGATATTCAAGAACCTGCTCCACAAACTGGTACAACACAATATGCTTTACCACAAGAAGGAAACTTGCCACAATCTGAGCATCCCAACAATTAGGCTCAATCTTCTCATCCAGCAAGACATTTGCAATTAAACACACATCCAATGACTACTCGTGGAAAACTTAAGGTAGGCCTCATACATTTCAACTCACAACAATTCTCAATTCCTTGCGAGCCCAAGACACTCAAAACTGCCTTGTCTCATCCAGGTTGGTGCCATGCAATGAAAGAAGAGTTAATAGCACTATCTAAGAATCAGACATGGACTCTTGTTTCGCGCCACTCCTCCATGAATGTTATTGGCTCTAAATGGGTCTATAAAACCAAGTTAAAAGCAGATGGCAGCTTAGAAAGGTTGAAAGCAAGGCTTGTAGCTAAGGGATTCAACCAACAAGCCGGCATAGACTATGAAGAAACCTTCAGTTTGGTTATCAAGCCCCAAACAATTCACATTGTGCTCACTATTGCACTTGCAAAAGGATGGACCATCAAGCAATTAGATGTCCAAAATGCCTTTTTACATGGCTACTTAAAGGAATCGGTCTACATTGAACAACCACCTGGATTCAAAGACCCAACTCATCTAGATCATGTATGTCAACTCAACAGAGCACTTTATGGTCTTAAACAAGTTCCTAGAGCTTGGTTTAAATGATTCAGCCACTTCTTACTTCAACTTGGTTTTCTATGCAGCCATTGTGATTCATCTTTATTCATTCTTCATCATGCTCAAGTAATAATCTATTTTCTCCTATATGTGGATGATATCATTCTCACTAGTAGCAGCTTTGTTTTTCTTGATGCTTTTATCACAAAGTTAGGTACAGAATTTTCAATGAAAATCTTTCATACTTTTTGGGAATTCAAGTCTCCACTACCCTTCATGGATTATTCCTATCTCCGAAGAAATATGCCTAGAAGCTCCTTGAGTGTGCAGGAATGATTGATTGCAAAGCCATAGCAACACCAATGGTCGCCAAGTCCTTGGCACTTTCTCACACAGAGCCATTCTCCAATCCTTCACTCTTTCGAAGTTTGGTTGGAGCTTTACAGTATCTAACAATCACAAGGCCAGAACTTTCATATGCCATTAATACTGCATGCTAATCCATTCACTCTCCTACTGTTGGAAGCTTTCAGTTAGTCAAAAGAATATTGAGATATGTGAAGGGAACAATTGATTATGGCCTTCATTTGCTTAAAGACTCTAGTCTTGACTTATTTGGCTACTCTGATGCCGATTGGGCAAGAGACTCCTCTTCCTCTTGATTGACCTCTGCCTCTAGGAGAATGATTGTTGTATGGACCTCTTCTGTGATGTGCAGTAAACACTTGCTTCTCATTTGAAAGCAAGTTCTTATGGCGCTTTTCAAAATTAGACAAATAGTTAGTAAACTCTTCAAATGAAGGAAGAGGAAATCAAACCTGCATTGGTGTGACAAAGCTATCATATTTATCACCAAGACCATTTAAAGACCAGTATACTTTATCACCATCATCAAGTGGCTCTTTAATAGCAGCAAGCTCATTGCTAATCATATTTATCTTTTGTAGATATGCATCATGTGTAGGATGTTCATCTCTTTTGACCTCTCGTAGTTGTCGTAAGAGATCTCGAGCCCTTTCTTTAGAGGAGTTTGCAAAGTGCTCCTCCAAGGCCTTCCATACATCCCTGGCATATTTGAGTCCGATTGTAAAGTTTCGAATTGCTAGGGATAATGTTGCAACGATCAAGCTCTTGACTAGCCTATCTTTTTGCAACCAAATTGCTAATAAAGGATTTTGTTCTTCCTTGCCATCTGAGGACAACCTTGTAGCTTTAGGGGCCTTTGAGTCAAAGAGAATGTGATCCCCCATGGAGATTCCTTCAATTAGTGGAAGGATCTGATCTTGCCATGAGAGGTAGTTATTTGAAGTTAGTTTTTCACAAACCATGGCAGAGATTTGGGCAATGGTAGTGTTTCCTCAAAAATCCTCTAGTGGCCTCGCACGTGTGAAATCTGACGCGGGCGTGCCACTTACTTTGCTGAAAGTAAGAAAGGAGGACTTTCCCAACGACCCTCTCCTT